CATGACCATGAAGCTCTGGTCTTGGGAACACATGGCCTTGAAGCTCTGGTCTTTGGAACTCATGATCTTGAAGCTTCCCCTGGCTCTTATCCACAGACTCTCACTGTCAGGTACCCCTGGCTCCTGTTCACATGCTTAGTACTGGACTGACTCTGTGGTAGAGAGATCTCATAAGGCAGGTACATTCTCTCTAAAATATTACATCTTAAGTTGGGAAGGAACAGCTTTGCATGTGAAGTCCAAACCTGGCAGCCGTGATTCACAGCAAGGCACCAGTTCTGCCCCCCATGGTCTTACCTTCCAGCCTGCTGAGAGGCCTGCCTCCTTCTTGCCTTCCTTCCTCTTTTCTTAATTTTTCTTTTTCTGAGACAAAGTCTTGTTACACAGCTCAAACTAGCCTGAAACTTCCAACCTCCTGCCTCTGCATCCCAGGATGCCTCTGCATCCCAGGTGCTGGGATTTCAGGCAGATGCCATCACGCCCAGATAACTTCATGTCTTCTAAATGTTCTATCTATAGGGACCTAGGATCTGGTGAAGAAGAGAAGGACATTTCTTTATTTTTCTGTTTTTTTGAGACAGGGGCCCATTCTTTAATCCAGGATAGCTCCTAACTCATTATTTATCCCAGATTGGCCTCACGGCAATCATCTAGTCTCAGCATCCTGAGTGTGGGGGTGACAGGTGTGATCCACCAGGCTTGGCCGAGAAGGCCATTAAGATGGCAAGAGTTGATGGTGTTCTGGGAAGTGGCACACAAAGGTTGGAAGCCATTCTGAGGCAGAGCTGTCCTGGGCTCTGTAGGTGACAGAGCTGGGGAGGTATATTGGGCATGACCAATGTGACTCATCCCTGGATGGTTCCCCAGGGGAGGGAAGGGAGTATCAAATACCTTGCCTCGAGCTATGAAAACTAAAAGCCAAGCACTTTTGCTGGGCGCAAGAGAGCTGCCACTTGAAAAGTGAGATTCTGCTCCTTCTGAGAAGGCTGCCTTCTCCTTCATTCCATTTCTAGACTGTGTGCTCCCATGGTCCCTCTCTGCTTTAGGCCACAGCTCTCCCCTCCAGGCTGTCGTCTCCCCTCCTCAACTTCTGTCCTGCTTCAGACTTGTCCTCCAGCACTTCAGGTCATCCCTTCCCACCACTATCCATTCGTTAAGAGACTCTGTAGAGTGCAAGGTTAAGAGCAGGAATCTGAGGCTAGACTGTTCCGGTTTAATCCTGCTTCTGTCCTGACCGGCTGCTGCTTCACTGTGGTCAGCTTACTTAGCTGCTTCTCAACTCAGTTTCCTCTGCTGTCAAATGGGAGCAGCAGCAGGACCTGCCACATTAGATCACTGCGATGTGTGAACGCGCTAATGACAGGTCCCTGGAGCACTCTGGGCAGGGAGCACTCTGGGCTTGTGAGTCCCTGGCTCTTGAGAAGCGCGGCTGCCTAAGTGGTGTTTTCTTCTAACCAGCTGTGTGGCTGCTCTGGCTAGCTAATGAGCACTTGGGTGGGAGCCCTCTCTTCACATTCTCTACAATGCCTACCCTGGAGTTAAGCATTCCTCAAATGAGAGACAACGTGAGATCTGATGTTCTAGACACACAGGCTATGATTTCCCACCTGCTTTCCTGCCAGGTCCCAAGCAGAGGAGAAAGATCAAGCCTTAGAGATCCTTTTGGAATGGACACCCAATTTGTTTCTGGGTAAACTGAGACTCAAGCGGAACAGAGACAGGAGCAGCTGGTGGAGCGGGGTGAGTTAACATGAGCCTTCAGGCTATAGGCAGGATTTCTCCTGACACCCCACCTCCTCCCCCTGGCTACTCTCTGGAAAAGGCCCATCCTTCCAAAGCTTGGGGAACGGCCCCTCCGGTGTACTCAGAGTGGCCCTGTGGCCAGGATCTCGCACCTCTTTTCTCTCTGCTGTGGTACCTGCCTCCACACTGATGTCACGACTCTTACCATCTCCTTCTACCTCTCACTCTGATGTCCTTGAAGTGGCTGGATATGAGAACAGATTCGAGGTTGAAACACAGCAAGACCAAGCATGCCTCCCTACTTCCTCCCATCAAAACAGATCGGGTTTATTAAAATGTTCTATTGTCTGAGCTAGGATAAGTCTTAAAACCATGTTTGCATGGAAAGTATCCCATAAAGGGAAGACAGATTGAGGCACTGGCCATTTCCTCCCTCAGCACCTTGGAGAGTCCTAGAGGGGGCAGCCATGCACATGCAGAGGGTATCAAGAACTAGTACCCTTCCAAGCCTGCACCACTGTCTGTGTGCCAGTCTTCCCAACGGCCCTGGCACCTTAACACTTAGGTGCGGTACACACCCTGCCGCCTGCTGCCATGTGCCCTGAGCCTTGAGTAAGCAGCAGCTTCCCACTCCCTCAGCCTGCCTCTTCACTCTCTCGGCCTTTCCAATGCAGGGAGCAACAGGTAAGCATCAGGACAAGGCTCAGCAATACACAGTTCCCCAGGCTGCAGAGTCCTCCCAGTGGGTGCTCCACCTCTCTAAACAAGTTCACCATCCTCCATTTCATCCACTTTTTAGATATGGTACTTATAATCAGGCTATCTGATTGAGAGAAGTTTAAAGAGAAGATCAAAATCAGTCATAACGACTCAACTTGCAATATGCATCATAATCGTCCTACAGCAGAGAACGGAAACTCTTACAGGCTAGCTAGCTTCTATTCCTAAGGAGTCTGTGTCTTAAGACCCCAGAATGCTTTGGGAGGGGATGTGGACAACACTCTGAGAAAGGGTATTGTTGAGCTCTCACTATGTAAAGCTCTTTCCCTAAAATAAGCACATCTGTTATCACACAGCAGCTCTACAAGGAAACAATTGGCATTATTGCTATGCGTGGACAGAAACGTTGAGGCTAAGGAAGGTCAATTGACTTGCCCCGAGTCACAATACAAATAAAATCTGCCACTAATTGAATGCCACAGTACATACGCCTTTATTTACTCCTGACACAACAGCTCTCATAGTTAATTATTTGTGCACCCGCCACACCCGAGCTGTGACCGAAACCTGGGGGTCTCTGGCATGCTGGGCATGTGCTCTACCGCTGAGCCACACACAGTTCTGCACTTGGTTTTTGTTGATATGTAACACATATTCAGAAGAGACTATTTTCATCTTTCCTTGAGGAGTAGGAAGTTGGGGATGTGAGGGACTTAAGGTCATACAATGTGGGAAGAGGGGGAGCCAGGCCTTGACTCTAGATCCCAAGGCTGGCTTTCATGCTTGGAAGCAAATAAGATGCTTCCCGTTATTCACAGTAGCTCTGGGTTATAAAGTATGATCATAAGATGAACAGTAGGAACATATAAAGTGTGAACACTGACTACTGAGCCGCTGCTCCCCAGGGAAGCACAAAGCTAGGTTCTTGTCAGTCTCTGGTCGCAGTCTCCTCCACCAGCGACTATATCACCATGTGCACATTAAATGTTGTATGTGTCTTTCTTTTTGAATGACTATATTATCATATGCATGTTGAATGCTGTATGTGTATTTCTGTTTGAATGACTATATTGTCATGTGCACATTACATGTTGTATGTGTCTTTCTGTTTGAATGACTGCATCACCACATGCATATCGAATGTTGAATGTGTACTTCTGTTTGAGGATGCCAGACTGCAGGTGTATGGGTCATTCACTCACACTGACCTCATCTCCACTAACACCAGAGCCCTCGGGAAGCTTTAAAAACTCATCTTCCCTGGATAGACAGGACTTCAACAAAAACAGTGAGATAACCACGGAAGAGCATGAAAACGCACTGTGGCACTAGACAGATTTAAAAAATAAAGGACAGCATAAAACTGGAACAAGGCGGAGCTGGGAAATACGCACGCCATTCACTCAGGGGTCACCCTTGTCTGCGTGTCTGTGAAGGACTGAGCAAGGAGCACCCAGCGCTGCCTTCGGATTTCGAGTGACTTGTAGCAAGTAGGCGAAATCAGAGGAGGGACAGCGAGGGCTGGCCGGACTGCCTGTGAGGTGGGGGCAGTCCGTGGTAGGGGTCGAGGCTGAAGCCCCTTCACTAGCTTCCTGCTGAGGAGGGAGCATTCCGGCTGCTGCCCTTCAACCCTCAGGGACCCGGCAGGAGCCTGCCCCCCCCCCCCACATCTGTGTTACCACCCCGGGTACGGGCACGGAGTACCTCCCTTTGCCTTTTGTTGGCAGACGGCTCAGCGCTGTCCCAGAACCAGGCTGCCCAGAATTCCTGACTCCTAAGCTCATGAGGTCTGGTGGGTAATCTAATCTCTCTCTCTCTCTCTCTCTCTCTCTCTCTCTCTCTCTCTCTCTCTCTCTC